GGATGAATTCCACATTTTTTTCTCTTTTTCTTTCTCTCTTTTCTTTTCTTTGTTTCTCTNTTCTTTTTTTTTCTTTTCTCTTTTTCCTTTGGAATTTTTTTTTCTGTTTTTTTTTTCTTTCTGTTTTTTTATAGTAAGATCTGAATTGAGTGAATTGTGAAAAATGAGAGAGGGGGCTTGTTGGTTATATAGGCAAAATGGCTGTCACGACATTGCGACGGAAAAATATTCCGTCACAAATTTGTGACGCTTTTGCAACCAGTTTATGACCTAGAAAAGGGGTTAGGTGAGAGTTAGGTGAGAGTTACGTCGCGCTTATTTATCACGTGTCCAACTATTTTTCTGGCTGCCGACATAAACTGTAACGGGAATTGTGACGCTTTAAATTCGTCACAAATTTGCGACTGATTTATGACTCATAATTGAGTAAACGACCAGTCATATAGTAGTCGTAAAAGCGTCGCAAATATGTGACCACTTAAACCAACCGATTTTTGGTCTTACTTCTGTCGCTAATTTGCGACGGATATACGACGATATTTGTCCATCGTCGTTTTGTGACGAGGTTGACACGATATTTTGCGTAGTCACAAATGTGTCAAAAAACGTCACAGAAGAGTGGCAGATTTTCTGTGACCAAAATAACAGTCACAAACAATGGTCACAGATTGACTGTTTTCTTGTTGTGCCCTTTTACCACTCTTTAATGGTTTGAATGGCCAATCTCGATTCGAGATCATCTTTCGAATGAGGATTGGTACCACACCTTGATTGCATCTAACCTTTCTTTGAAACCACCTTTAATTTGTTGAGTGAGGCCTTTTTCTATTTGCACCTCATGCATAAAATATTTAGAGATGGAAACGACAAGTTCTTTTCTTCCATTATGAGTAGTCTCATTGGCTAGTCTAGGTGGATTGAGAGAATTTTGGAGTCTCATTGGTTTGTATTACGGTTTTGGATATTGGTGAGGGTGAGTAAGGTTGTGAGCTTATGTTGAGAAAGTTGGAGAAAGGAAAAAGAATGAAGTGAAACCGAATTGGTTTAGAGAAAGAAAATCGGATATCTAGGGAGAGAAAACAAAAGGAAAACACTACTCTTAAGCAAAGTATACAAGTAAAGAAGCTCGTAGAAAAGAAAAGAAGAGAAAAGAGAGAATCAAAAGGAGTAGAAATAAGAAAGCAAGAGTAAATGTCTAAGTATAACAAAGATCTCCCTAGGTTCAATCCCTAAAAGAAAAGAAAAAAGTTGAAGTGATTGTTGTTAAGAATAAGAGTGACTTTGAGTGAAATACAAAGAGTATGGGATGGGTAGAATAGAAGAAAACATCTTGTATGCATCAATTGTTTCCCTTCTCCATTGCTTTTGTGTATTGACTTGTGCCTTATGTTTGAGAGAAGTCTCTTAAATGTTCGAAACCCCTTTTTACTTCACATTGAACTTATTCTCTTACCAAGCCGATTGGATTAGGTCGAATTCCCATTTGTGAGGCTACACGG